CATTGTACAGTGGCATTAAGTGCCGTAATGTGCACCTCTGCCTACCCCTTCGGGGATAAAAAGGCGTGATGTTATGATGTTATGATGATTTTAAGAGGCTAAGGCGAGCTTGTCCCTAAAACAAAAAAAAAACTTATCGATAAGTTTTTCTTTTGGAACCATAGCTAATTTTGGTCTAGTTATGATACAGGTTTTCTGAAAGACGAATCTATCCGCCCCACCTACAATTTTACCGAAAAAAAAAAACGATTCTATAAAGTATCTTTTAGAAGTTAATTAATACATTTTTAACATATCTGACTGCATAGCGCTTCTAACCGCATTATAAATAATATTCCCCACATCTGTGGTTATTTTTGGAATTTTTACATTGTGTAACCTTCAGACAGAGATTAGAATTCAAAATTACGTGTTTCGCTACCATACAATACTTGTCGATAAATGTTACCTAGCCTTTAAAATTGATGTCTTTCCCAGATGTTAACTACGTCAGTTAATAAACAGATTCTAATAATAAGAAATATAAGATGGTTCGTTTATGCCCGTTAATCTCTACCTCCTGCTCAGGTTTTCAAAGAACTACATTTTTTAAGATTAGTTGTGAACTATCGATTACGAAAGAACAACATAAACACGGGTGAAACTGCGTGAAAGAGCTTTATTTATGAAATCGTTTTTAAATACTTCTTTACTTTCCAGTTTTTTAGAATGCAAAAATAACTGTTTCGTTAGTTTTGACCTAATATTTAGAGACCACAGTTATGTTTTTTTAGACGAAGTGCCTAAGTTATGGATCATGAACATTTGATAGTTTTTAACCATCCTTAAAAAATTTGCAAAGGGAAAAATCAAAAATCATTTCTCTACATATTTTTTGGAACCATTTAAAATAATTCAGTATCAGAATATTCTGTTTTCTGACTATGTCACCTCTTTTTTGCCTTATGATTTATTGTTAACTTGCGACCCGCCCCGTTCGCACGGGTGCAATATGCATGTATTATACATATGAACCTTAAGAATCACTCTGCCTATTAAAAAAGACCGCATCAAAATCGGTTGCGTAGTTTTAAAGATCTAAGCATATATAGGGACAGACAGACGGCGGATAGCGACTTTATTTTATACATACTATGTAGTAGTAGTAGTAGTAGTAGTAGTAGTACAGAAATGCCATAGACTGCCACACATACTTTATTTTGGCACCATTAGAAGTTTTCATTTGAATACACCTAAGTAAATTTCTGCAAAACAATGACGTCATAATTATTTGATCGATATTTACTCACCTTGGTAATCCTCGTAGACATACAAACATACCTACCTACATACATAGGTAAATCGATAAAGTACGTGCCCTTGAAAACTACTTAGGTACTAAGAGTACCTACTTACTATGATATTGCTGAGGATAGTAATATTAAATATAGGTACCTAACTAATTAGCCATGCTTCGGCACGAATGAGCCGGCTCGACCGGAGTGATGCCACGGCCTCACAGAAAACTGATGCGAAACAATGCTTGCGTTGTCATTCGTCGTATGAGTGTGGTTACCGAAGGCCCAATTATCCTCCTCCCCAGTCTCCCCAATCCTCGGATCCTCAAACTCCCAATTCCCAAAAGGCCGGTAACGCACTTGTGTTTCAGATGCGCATGAGCGGCGCCGATTGCTTACCATCAGGTGACCCGTCTGTTCGTTTACGGGCTTATCCTATAAAAAAAATATTATTCTTTGTAATCATTAGTGACTAAAAAAACTAACTGATAAATAAAACAAGTTGACTATCAACATAATGCTTACACGCGCCAATCACCGGTGTCCCTCAGGGTGTTTACCTTGTCAATGGCTTTGGACAAAACTAAGAATACAGATAGATAATGTTTTGGATTAGAACATGATGTTTTTCATCTTATACAATACTGAACTAGTTTAAATAATAATTAGTAAAAGTATGAGCTGTTAATACAAACATAATTCCATTGAATTTTCCGTATAATACAGAATTATGAAGTTCCTTTAACCTTAATACGGTTTTGCAATGACTAATGTATGTTCGGAAACTAACGAGGTTTTCTATTGTACCTACTTATTGTAAATTTCCTCTTATTTGTTGTTGGGCCGTTAGAATTTGTTACGTTACGGTCACAAAATTTTATGCAGTCGATTTTTGTAATATTGAAACATCTGGACACTCCTTAGATACTAGATACATGTGTTGATATTTTGAAGAGCTAATCAGAGCAGAAGTGTGGGAGACCCATGCTTCCGCACGAATGGGCCGGCTCGACCGGAGAAATACCACGGCTTCACAATCCAAAAAAAAAAGATAAAGGCATTGCTATCGATCAAAAAGATTTAGAGCTGTAGAGACATAGTAATTAATAACGCAAATGATATCAGTACACAGGTCACGGTATGAATTCATATGCGTAAAAATTAAGTAAATTTAATTCAACATAAGTAAACTCAAGCAGTAATTTATTACTCAAACATTTAGACACGTTTATGTCGTCGAATGATGTACTAATATCTATTTGGTTTGAAACAATTTATGCTAATGCGCTCGTGCTCATCATTATTCGTGTTTATGCTCCAAACAATATCGGTTCCAGTGAATCTGTTTTATATTCCATGTCGGCTGGACACTTGGATTCATACTGTCTATACAATAGACCCAGAATAAAATATATCGTGCATTCAGAATCACTTAGGCGTGTCTTCACATACGAGGTACCGTCACCTAAGTTATGTTATATGCAGGTAATAAAGATGAATTCAGAATTCAGAACAGACAGTTCCTATTGCTGCTATACTCAACAAATTCTCCTGTTTGACGAAACTATATCTTTCGTTACTATTTATCAACTCAGTAGCTACAATAGTTACTGTCTCTTATGTTCATTTTCTTACCTATATATCAAATAACTGGGTAGTCCGTACATTAGATGTAAATGAATATGTCATTAGAGGCTAAAGTCGAATAAGTGTCATATTCTGTGCGTAGGTTAATAAAGTTTATGAGGAACTTAATAATTATGTCTCGAGAATTCAAAGGGTCAATGGGACCATGACTTCTTACTCTTAACGCTTTTAGCGTGACTAAATGATCTTTGATATTTTATTCTAATGGAGATATATCTTGGAATTAATAACGATATTACTACCGAAGTCAATGAAACACGAAAATGCATGTATGCATGTAAAAATACTACATGCATAATGTTCATGTTCATTATTCAATATTATTTTGTTGTTTCTTCTCTTTTTGCTTAAGGGGTTAAAAATTATGTGGAGACTCGGACAAACTTCTATAGTTAATGACAGAAGATTGCCAACTGGACTAACAAGCACATCTCCACACTTTGCCAAAAAAATATTCATTCAACTCGATTCTCAGAAACCCTTTCTATTATATCGACAATCAAATCAATTTTGTGATTTTATAAAAAAAATCATAAATCTTCATTGGGTACTTAATAAGTTGATACTACCTCTCACGTCTAAATGTTTTATTAAATTTTCTATCTGTAACAGATCCTCAAGGGCAACGGTGCACTCGTATAATCCCATTAATCCGTTATTATATTATATTTGGAGGAGCAAAGCAGAATACAGATTACTTATCTAGATTAAACATCGTAATATCTATTCTACATAGTAATATCGTGATTATACCGCATATCTCGACATTTGTGACGTCATTCGTGTTGAGAGTGGACTGCCAAGACTTGGCCTTAATTTAGAGAGTACCTACGTTAAAATAACTGTCTATTTTCGTCCGCAGTATGAAGTTCAAGGCTGTCTCTGTACGTAACTTTTGTTTACTTGCTTTTACTCGTGGTTTTACTCGTTTACATATTTTTACTACTCTCTCCTCAATATCTACCTCTTTGAGTTTAGTCCCGTGTAATCTGCACTACAATAGGGTAGTTTCCTAAATTTTATTGTAATTTTAATGTCCGTCTGTCAAAACTTTAGACACGTATGTTTTCTTTTCTTACCAAATTAAATACTATCGACAACATATTAATTTTAAATATCGTGTGACGTCACGGACTGCACGTTATGACGTAACGAACTCCCGCTCCTAAACTTAACTCCATTTTATCTAAGTATTGCAACTAAATACGAGAAAATAAAAAATTCGTGTCTAATATTTTTTCCATCTAACTGACGGCCTAATTAGATTTTTAGTTTTGATACCCTGTCAACTACCCTATTCTGAATATCGGTTCAGCCATTTAACCGTGAGTGCGTAACCAAATAATAGATAAAGATGTTTTTTATTTAATTCTCTGTTTTACTGATGATATAAATCTTTAATGCTTTCAATTTCGATTTGAATAACGATGTAGTCATAAAGATAATGGTACTCGTAATGTAAGCTGCAAATGGTCATTATTGATGTTATTTATTTTAACAACAAACTGCGTGCCTTCTTTGCCATAAACTACTAAACAGTTGCGTGTTATCTCATATACATATACATGTACATAGTGGGATTCAAGATTAATGAACAATGGCGTGGATCTTTTTTTATGTTTATTGAAAATTTTTCACAAACACGTCCAAATCTTTACTGGGCCTGTAAATGGTTCTTAAG